GTGTGTGTGTATGTATATATATATATATATATATATATATGTATGTGCTACCAGGTTGATCCACTGGTCGATCCACTCTGAGAAGGTGCTATTTAAGAGACTGAGCTGAATACAGCACCTCAGACTGAGGAAGTTTCTCAGATGAGAAATGAAGCATTTCTATATTTTTTTTGCTTTGTTTTGTTTTTTTAATGTCCAGAGGACCAGATTGAACTTTTTTGGATTTTTCTACCTGGATTATAGAGCATGCATCAGGATATGACTGTCAATCTCCCTCGGACTGGGGCTCCATGCAAGATCTCACCTCGTGGTGTATCAGTGATCCTAAGAAAGGTGAGGAATCAGCCCAGAACTACAGGGGAGGAGCTGGTCAATAACCTGAAGAGAGCTGGCACCACTGTTTCCAAGGTTACTGTGGGTAATACACTAAAACATCATAGTTTAAAATCATGCATGGCACTAGGGCTGGGTACCTTTCTAAAAAAATCGGTATCGGTGTCGGTACCTTCACTTTGGTGTCGATTCCTGGACAGTTCTTTTTTCGGTACCAATTTTGTAATTACTATTATTCCTAACAAGAATAAAATTACGTTATACATTACAGTACAAACTGTGAGTTTTATTTTTTAACGTTGGTATTTTTCTAATCCAAGCAGTTTTCTTACATAAAAACAAACAAATAATTTCCAGGTTAAAAGACCACTTTCAAACCAGTGACACGTCAGTGTCTAAGGCTCACTGCTACACACTGAGGACCTTTTCACTGAACAGTTTGTCTTCAGAAAAATCAACATGTCTGCTTTCTGTGGACACAAACCAGCCCGCTCCTGGCTGATGGTGTCTCCAGCAGTAGAACATGTTCACTCCGAGGCTGTAGATGATGCTTGTTGCACACACTAAGGGTTGAACGAGTATATAATTTTTAAACTCGACATTAGCATAATAAAACCCGAGTAGAACTCGAGTATTTGATGACATCATAGATCTCAAGATACAAAAATAAATAAATAAATAAATAAAACCGCAAAAAAAAGGTAGTTATTTACAAAAAAAAAGACCAACAAAACATTGGGAGCGTATATTATGCTCCTACCATTTACCATACTGCAAATAAGTCACAGGAAAAACTAAACTACAGGTCCTTCTCAAAAAATTAGCATATTGTGATAAAGGTCATTATTTTCCATAATGTAATGATAAAAATGAAACTTTTTTCAGACATACTTCTTATGGAGTACAGAAATTTACCAAACGAAAAACAAAAAAGTGTATAAGAAAACATAGTCAGCTGTTCAGTAGCAGCCTGCAAAAACAGCTGCCACTCCTCAAGAAGTTATATTCATTCATTCAACCTGTGGATCCACTACATTAGTGTATCTGTCAGTATAAATAAAAACATAAATGTAAATATACCATTTCAATAAATTCAGGTCTTCTCAGTCTGTAGCACGATCAGGGGAAGTAGCATCAAAAAACTCGTTTTCTAATCGACTTGTTAAACTTTCCTGCTGTTGTTTTCCTTCAACAAATTGTTCAGTGGTTTATCAGCAATTACTCGATTAGAATTGTTTTATTTGAGCTGGTTTGTTACCTTTAAAAGACGATCGTCTAAGCCCATTTCATGAAATTTCAATCTCTCGGCGGCCATGTTTGCTCGGCACTACTCACACGTGCGTCGAGGAAAGTTGACGTCATGTTACATTCAAGGATAATCGGAAAAATGAGCGTCTTGTTCAAAGAACATTCTTCTTCCAACAGTGTTCAGTCAGGTCATCTGGACAGTTTCTTATTTTGTTGAGAGACGTTTCGTCCTCCATCCGAAGGGCTTCATCAGTCTGAGAAGTCACAAACAAACTGCTTCCCCCACTAAACAGTACACTCGTACAGCGGAGCGCAGGAGTGATTTGTGACTTCTCAGATGGATGAAGCCCTTCGGATGGAGGGAGAAACATCTCTCAACAAAAAAAAAAACTGTCCAGATGACCTGAACATTTTTGGATTTTTTTTTTTTACCTGGATGTTGAGCATGAATCTTGAACCACTTTGGCTGTGGCAGCTTCTTCTTCTTCTACATATGATGCCATTGCTTTAGCAGTTCACACATCCCTCAACCATCTGGAGCAGGTAAATACCTATGTGAGAATGCTCTTCATTGACTACAGCTCAGCATTCATCACCATAATCCACTCCAAACTGGTCTCCAAACTCACCACACTGGGCCTGGAGAAGTTCATCTGCTGCTGGATACTGGACTTCTTCACAAATAGAACACAGGCAGTGAGAACCGACTGTCACCTCTCCTCCACACTAGACCTCAGCACTGGTACACCTCAGGGTTGTGTCCTCAGTCCACTCCTGTACTCACTATTTACACATGACTGTACTGCCAAGCACAGCTCTAACATCATCCTCAAGTATGCTGATGACACCACCATCTTGGGCCTCATCACAAACAATGATGAAGAGTGCCTACAAAGACAAGGTGAAATGACTGACCATCTGGTGACAGGAAAATAACCTCTCTCGAAATGTCAGCAAAATGAAGGAGATCATAGTGGCCTTCAGGAAACAGCATGGAGGTCAGCACTCCACCATCTACATAAACAAGGCTGAGGTGGAGCAAGTCAGCAGCTTCAAGTTTCTTGGCGTTCACGTTACTGAGGATCTATCCTGGACTTTATACAAACAGTATATACCATACCATACCACTTTATTTATAAAGCACTTAAAACAGCAACAAGGCCAACCAAAGTGCT